TGTGTGTGTGTGTGTGTGTGTGTGTGTGTGTGTGTGTGTGTGTGTGTTGGAGTTGATAGTGCTTTGTTTTACTTCCAATAGCTGCGGCTGTGCCTTGAATCCCCCTGTAGCTCTGTTGCTGTGGCCCTGGGTGCAGGCGGGCGGTTGGTTCTGTTGTGCCTCTGAGTCGCTTCTATGTGAAGTAGATGAGCCCTTAATTGTAATTACCACAGTGCTGCACGCAGCTGTTCTGCCTGCGTTGGCTGTCTGCAGCTTTACCGCAGGTTGTGGGGATTCTCTTGGTGTCTCAGCTCTTCTTTACATAGAGGTGATGAGGTGGGACTTTTGTTTCTTGGTGTGAGTGGTTAATAGCGCATCCCAGAGGGCTTTTGTTTGTACTTCATGTAAGGATATAAACTGTTACTGAGCTTTAATCCTAAGGCTTTGTTTTTAGGTAGCATAGCCTTCACCAACCCATACGCACAGCCCAGAGGTCCCAGCAGCTGCTGCAGCTTCTGATTTGTGCTGTTACTGCCACAGGGATGGGGATGGACCCCTCCAGGGCGTGGAACGCTTTACAAGGTTGTTTACAAATACAAGGTTGTTGTATTCAACACCTATAGAAAAGCTCGATAGAAACAGAGCCATTCCGTGTTGGCAGCTGAGATTATTCTTGCTGCTGCTGAAATGCAGATGAATGCAGAAAGTGAACAGAGGGCACATCCCCACCGAGTCAGACTGACTGCAAATCCCTCCTGATGCACAGCCTCTAGTCCAGAAATCCCACACTGCGGGTCCCTACTAACTGCTGATGATAGGTCTGGTTGGGGTTTGGAGCTGCAGAAAGCAGCTATGTGGGGCATGGGGTGCTGCAGGCTGTGAGGAGGTTGCTGTTGTGGAGATGTGCCCTTCACTGAGCACACAGCTTTATAGGGCTGCCCCTGGCTGTTAGGTCAGCATGTGTGTGCTGATGTTTCTTGGTTCTGGGATTCCTTAAGCACATAGAGAGAAGTTGTGTTGATGCTGTATATACTCAAGAGGAGTAAAATGGGATTGGGAAACAGCAAAAACCAGCATTTCTGCTGTCTGTTGGAACGTGCTGCTAATGTGGTGTTTCACCTGAGCTCTGCTGACTGGTTTACAAACAAACCCAAAACAATTAGGAAGACAGAGGGTGCAGAAATGGATACGTGTTGATGATCATCGTGCACGAAATGCTGTTTTTCCCCAAGGGATTTTCAAATTAAGGATGTTTTTTTGCAGCATTAGTCTAGCCTCTGACAGATGAAGAGATTAAACGTGGTGGCTGGGCTTGTTACAGGCCCCAGCTGTTGGCCTGATTCTCTACTGGCCATTCCTATCCCTACTGCAGGGCCAGGGGTAGCTGGCTTATAAGCAGAACTTCTTTCTGACCTGCTTCTGTTAGTGAAACAGGACACAACAGAGGCTCTGTTGAGTGCAGCAGCAGAAAGCAGAAGCAGCTCTGCAGCTCAGGTGCTCAGGAAGCAGAAGTTGTGTGTAACCTGTGGCATGAGGCTCTGCTCAGTAAGAGCCAGCCAGTGATTTATGGGAACGCAGAACAGCTATTGATGTGTCAGGGCTGGGTTAAGTAATAGAGGATAGGCACCATGAGAAGCTGCTTATAAGCTGTATATCTTTGTTTATGAAACCTCTGTAAATGGATCAGAGGGATACCTGTTTTCTGTACTTAAATTCCATGACAAAGCTGGAATTCTTTCCAGAAGAAAGGACAAATGTAGTATTTATACTGAGCTTTGCCTGGGGTCGTGATTGGAGTTCTGACGCTTGGATGCAAGGTGTGAACAAACAGCACTGACAAATGTAAATAATTAAAGGCAGCTGGCCTTCTTTAGGAAACTTATTTTCAAGTTTTGCCAAGAAAAGGCCTTTGTGACTGGATAAGCATTTTGCTACTGGAATAGAATTTGGTCGTGATTTGTACATTTGCTTGTAATTCTAAGCATGTGTGCTTGTACAATGGTGGGTTTAGAAATGCGCTTTTTCCTAATGTTAGCAAAAGCACGAGATGAACAGAGGCAGTAAATTTGGTGCTAATGGTGTCTCTGTATGGCTGGGGAGTTCGTAGCAACTTTTGGCCTGGTTAGATTTCTCTAGGAATGGATTTAATTCAGACAAGAATACGGGGTGAAATAGCAGTCTTGGAATGAGGCAGTGGGAGCAGATGGTAGGTATGGGCAGATTTTCCCAACTTTCTATTAAAGTGGCTTAGTTGAAGACCTGTTTGGTGGGTGAAGGTGTGCTCAAACCTGCTGAGCTTAGGAAGGGGAACCCTTATGTCTGTAATGCTGGTTTGGTACGGGTAGCTGGCTTTGTCTCAGGTGCTGATTTGAATCTTCTGGAAACATGCAAAACCCTGTGTGTTTTGCTTTTGGTACCTGTTTTCTTCTTGAGCTTATTTAGAGAGATAAAATGACTTGGTTTTGAGATAGAGCTGAGATCCTGTTAATACGCAGTAAGTGTTTCTGCAGCATCTGGGGTCTGATAAGCTTATGATCTGCTTGCTTAGAATGAAGGGCTTTGGGTAGATGGAACGTTGGGTTCTGTGGGTGAGCTGGTGTTGTTTCAGAAGGTTGGGGGCTGTTCTGGTGGCTGTTAGGGACTGGAGGAAGTTCAGGGTTCAACCATTGCATTGCTAGTGTAACGCATTGCTCCGTCACAGCTCGTTTATCTGGGCTGTAAAATGATAGCAGTAACATAAACATGACGTTGGAGCTTCAGGTTCCCTCATTCTCCATCGTGGAGGTTTCAGCCTCCTAATCTAATCAGCCTGCGCAATTAATCTGTTTACCTCTGATAGGACCAACTTGCCACTTCCTCTGCCCTTGGAAGCTCCGTGCCGCCGGTGCCTTCCCCAGCACGAGGCCTGGCAGAGCAGGGAGCTGTGGTCTGCTGTGCTCTGAGGGCTCTCGGGTTGAGTCAGTGCCTGCTGATGGGACGTGGATTGGCGTGTAGTTAACTGCAATCACACACGGCTATGAAAATGACTGAGCCGTGGCACGAGGCAGCACAGCTCAGGCACTTACGGGGTGGAACAAAGCCCCCGTTCCTTGGGTCTGCCATAGTGACAGATCCCTGTAGAACTCCCTTGTTACAGGCAGTCAAAACATACTGCATTTGCTCCGTTTCCTACTGAAATCTAACAAAGGAACCAAAAATCAGATTTCCCTTTCCTGATAATAAAGCTATTCCTTTGAGATTAGAGCTGGGAATGGATTTTTCTATATAGCAGTTCCTGCTTATTAATTGAATGCTCTTAGGTAATCTCGTGTGCTGGTTTGTGTGAGAGCACGAGAGGAAGAACATCACTATCCTGCATGTTTAATATTAGATCATTGTAATTGCCTTCGAGCTGGAGACCCAGCCTGTGTTTGTAGTTAAGACTGATATAAAGGAGTTAAGAGCAGCCCAAGGTTATTAGATCATTTGGAAACTGATTACCCTTTCACAGTGTAATAAAGTAATTATGAATAGTGTATGAAAATTGGTTGCAGTCTGTTTCAACATTATGACTGCCTGTCTTTAAAAGAAATTACATTGTCCTCTTTTGTGTTGTTCCTACAATTTGCATATTCAAAGCACGTTGGTTATTTGTCACTTCCAGCTGTAAATGCTAAAGAGCATTTAAAAAAAACAAATGATGCCATCTGTTTGGATAGGTTTCGGTGAGGTTTGGTAATCCTTCACCTTGGGTCTGTTCTCTTTACAGTGGTATGTGCTGCTGTTGCTGAAAGAGAGGTGCATTCTGGAATGGAGAGTTATGAGTGGTCCAAGTTGTGATTAAAACACTGTTGATGTGAGAAATAGGTACAGCTGTGGGCTCCAAAGCACAGCTGGGGGTTGCTCACCTCGGGGTGCTGCTTTGCCTTACGTGTCTTCCAGCAGTTCCCAGACACAGGGCTGCCTGTGCTGCG